CCAACTTTACAGGCAGTTAACAGGGCAAAGTAAACCCATGACTATCACCAAAAATAACACATTTCATTTGACTGGCCACAGAAACCACCACCTGTCCCTTTGGACTACACTTGCGACTCGGCAGTATCTCAAGGCTACACCGCACAACTGAAAATACATCTTTATTAGCAGCTGGTTTGAGGTTCCCTGTGGAGTGATTGGGGACTATCGGTGAGCATTCAAACATCTAATTGCTGGAAACCAAACTTCTGGGAATGGCGCCAGGTGAGTTGGCGGAGCTGCTAGCGGCAAACAGAGGAGGAGATGGAGTAGAACGTGTCTGTCTTGTCTGAGGCCCGTTCCAGTCACTGCAGAGGAACTGGAACAACACGCCTCCAAACTGTGCACCCGTGAGACCCAGTGAAATTTAGGATGTCATTGCAGTAGTTTTTGGGAAAGTCGAAAGTCAAGCCAGTGTTTACACAAAGCTCTTGATTAAGGGATGAGTTACAAGTGTAAAAAGTTAAAAAGGTAGATTCGGAGTGATAATAACTGTGTGCAGGAAAGGAATGTCCACTAAGAGAATAAATATTGTTAAATTTAGTCAACTACTCATATCAACAAAGATTTTTCTATAAAAAATAAGTGTCTTACAAGGAGTAAACAAATCCCTAATGATCAAGAATTAAACAAATACACTTTCTGAAAAGTGGGGGGCGTTCCTGTTTGAGGGGAGATGATGAGGCGAACAATCACGGCCATAGGGATGGGGCTGACATCTTTACATTCAGAGTCAGACACAATTCCACTAGTTCCGACTGCGGAAATACACTGTCAACCCCTTTGGCAATTACAAATGTATATCAATGCTGATGGGAGTGCCTTTCTTCAAGCCTGTTCTATTTAGTTTCGTTGTTGTGAATTTTTAAAGTTTGTGAAACTGCTGCCTTTTGACGCGGCATGGTCACATGACACTTACAACAACTACAATTCCAGCCCTGTGTGATCACTGCATGATTTGTGCTGCCATGCCACTAGGGTAAACCTGTCAGGAGATCACCACAGTGCAGTGCCTGAGGACCAGATGTTGAAGGTCAGCTTGATCAGGACTACCAGAGCTAGAGGTTTCAGAACGACAACAGTTGTTATGAAGTGAAATACTAAATAAAGCATTTCAGCACTGGCCTGTTTGGTCTGAAACAGCAGCTTATAAGATTTTATTTTGATGGTAATTGTATAACAACATTTTACTCTAACACCAAATTCCTTGAGTGAAAACCATTCACAATTGCCTTCACAAAGACTAAAGCGACTTATGGATTTGTTTTCAAGAAAACAACAAGAATGGGTCAAACACAAACTTCTCAAGTCATACTAGAACCAACTCTACTTGGCTAATGCAACGTTTCTCTCTTCTCAATCTTTCTTAAGTCTCGTGCTAATTCACAGACAGAAAACACACCACTTCAGACAAGACGAAGTGAGATTCTTGCAACCATATAATCAGTTATATAAAAGTAGTGGCTGGACTATTGCAGTCAGCGTGACATTAGATAGATATAATTACTATGTGCTATGTTTAATGGTTAACTTGTGAAACATAGCACATTGTTTCCAAGGACCCGAGCAGAGAAAACAATAGCACGCCACAGCCCCAGATGTAAACAGACAGCACAAGCAGTGGGTTTGATGTGCCCATTTCCGACTGCTGTGGATTGGAGTTGTCTATGTGAGGGGCAGACACAAAAGAATTGCTTTGGCCTCAGGGTGTGGTATGCCCATTTAAAAGCTTCTTTCAACAATGAATATAAAGCAGCATATAGCAAACATTAAGTAATTAGAACATGGGCTCCCATGGCCTTAAACGTCTGAAATTAGAATGTCGTGAAATTATTGCTCTGTTGTGCTGACATTTTGACAGTCAAGCTGTTAGTTCAATGTTGCTTGGTATGCAATTGTTTAAGTGATTCACAAATAAACCATTATTTATTAAGACAGTGGATCTTTATTAATTAACTAAGACATATTGCTATTTTGTCTGCTATACACATCGACAATCTATGACAGGGTGGCTAACTGGTCTGAGAGTAAACCACACTATGTTACGGCACAGCGAGCTCCAGGGGTCAGACTAACATCTTTGGATTCTTTTTTAGGGTGATAATGAATAAGTGATATTATTATGTCATAAATATAATAAAGAATGATTTTTCCCAAGTTGAACAAGCTCAATGTTTGATTAGATGTTTAGCCTTCAAAGAAAGCAAAAGAACTTGTATGAATACATTTTGTTATTTCAGTGATGTAAAAATAAACCATGTTCATAAAGGATTTGTATCAATACTGAACATGATTCATTTGTCACAATGCAATTCCTGCAGCTGCTCAGGAAAGCTAAGCTGCCTGCACAGATGTTGTTGCAGTTCTATACGGCCAGTATTGAGTCCATCCTCACCTCCTCCATCACCGTGTGGTTCGCTGGAGCCACAGTTAGGGACAAGCACAGACTAGAGCGCATCGTACGCTCTGCTGAGAGGGTGATCGGCTGCAGCCTCCCATCACTGCAGGACCTGTACGACGCCCGAGCTTGAGGGCGGGCTGGTCGTATCCTTGCGGACCCCTTTAACGCAGCACATGGACTGTTCCAACCACTCAGGCAGAAGGCTGCAGTCCATTTGGACCAGAACCTCTCGCCATAAGAACAGTTTCTTCCCTTCTGCAGATGGACTCATGAACACTTCATAAATCATCACTGTCCCCCTGCCCTTTATGACCGTCATTTTACTGTTACTACTGTCACTTTACTGCACTGCTCAATGTCTATTGTGTGTTTGAAAATGTTGGCCATGCGTGTAAACTCTAGAGTGTGACCGATTGCTCAATTTTGCGATCTCACAGGATTTGTTTTTTTTTGCAATGATCTCACAGCAGAGACTGTATAAATATTTTTTATTACCGGTATACTACATAAACCACCTGGGACGAGATGCAGACAAATCGGTCAATCCCAAAGATTGACAGAATTTCAACTACAAGACTTCGCACCAGTAGGTTAGACTACTGTAACGTAACGGTCTGCTCACTAAACTTTTCAAAGGAACTGTAAAACAGCTGCAGTATATTCAAAATGCTGTAGCTCAAGTCCTGACAAAGGCTGTGGCCACAAACACAACCTAAATCCCAGTTAAAGTGGACCTGGACCCAAAACGTGTATAGATCCGGGCTTTAGGTGCCGTGTGACAATGGCAACTGGGCTGGCACGGTTGTCTGGAGACGTGGGCCGAGGTCCACTTGAAAAGCCCAGGTGAGGGGGGGGTCAATGTGCTGGGGGGAAGGGAGGGGTGATGGGGACGTGATATTGTGCGTCACATTACGTCTTCCTGCTGCGCTGCTGTGACGTGAATTTTCACGCATGTCTCTCCCTAGCAGTCGCATACTTTCGCATTCTACTCTCCCTTAAAACTCCCGGACTGTGGTAAAGGGGCTCAGGGGAGATTTGGTGCTCCAGGGCCGAAGGGATGCGTTTCATCCGGGGGATAACTACCATTGTGTGGTGTGATGTGGTGCTTTTGCAAAAACACTTCAGACCGTTGCTCACGAGTCAGACTTTATTTTGTCGTCAAAACACACCAGCATACACTTGTATCCTGCCTGGCTCCGGTCGCTCTGCTCGTACCCCACACTTTTAATTTTTTTCATTCTCATTGATTTATTTCGCAGCCCTCACACCGTTTACTCCCCTGTCCGCTGCAAGCCCGCGCACACAAACACATGTTACCCACTGAGCTGCACAGTAGCTGAGTGTAAACAGGAAGAGAAACGGAAACTTAACACAAACCTAGAGGTAGTCGCTGAAGTTAGTATTAGCGCCAACAGCTGGACCGGAGTTCCACTACACGTATTTGTGCTGGCCCGGTTGAAAAAAAAAACCCTTCTGACCACAAGACGTCTTCACACTCCTGTGGCAACGATCCACACTACTTGGCCTAGTTTGTTTGTGAAAACCTTTGTGACCATGCCCTTAACTCTGGGCGTACAGATAAACAGAATGCATAAGTGCATACATTTACGATATCTTAAATTCCCTTGAATATGAATGTTGCTGTACAAAAAACTTCCCTTGCCCTCTTTGCAGGTGGCATGTGAAACTTTAGTATGTCAAATAAAACACACTTACAAACAATATAGGAAATGACCTTAATCTTAACCATTTGTGTCAGGATTTTTTTTCTAGACCCTTTAATCAGGCTCCTTTCACACAGAGCAAGTCAATAACAGCACACAATCAGTACATAAACTGTATTTTAAAAGGTCCTCTCCAGTCATTTCAATTGCTCCAATTTGAATTATTTGAGCGTGTAACACTTTAATTGCTTAAAACAAAGAGAATGTCAGAGGCTCAGGAGAATGGCGGGCAGAGAAAGGCAAAGCTGCTAAATAATCTGAAGGAGATGGCGTGTGTGCTGAGCTAATCACATGTAAGATAATCGCTCTCATAAATAAACAACATCAATTTGTGTCTTCACATTGTTTCTAAATCAGATATTCTGTGTTATTTATGGCCAGCATGCAACAATAAAGTTTCAAATGTTGAGAATTTGTATGTAAGGATTGAACATTTTAAACCCAGTAACATATACTAAAAATTTCTCCTCCATTCTTTCAAATGACTAATAATAGAAGGCTTGTAAGATAAATGTTGAAGAATGCGGCTTGTTATTCCTAAAGAACATACAAACAAAAAGCTTAAACAATAACTCTATATCTATTCCTGATCCTCCCATCGTACGGTTGGCATTGTATCGACCACAGGCCCTCAGGCTCATCAGTTTATTCTTCTTCACCCAATGAGAGGTCGTCCCAGTTGGAATGTGTGGTTGAGTTTAATTTACACTAACCATGCTGATCTTGGTCACAATCACACCAGATCAAGATGCAGCAGCTTTTTTGAGAAGATTGAACGGATTGTATATTTTGTACGTAAGTGTGAAGGAATGAGTAGCTTTTAGTGAATTACTCACGTGTCATGTGGAAGATGCCATCACAAGCACTGATGTGGGACAGGAAGGCATTGCCCAGACCCTGTCCAGCGTGTGCTCCCTTCACTAAGCCAGCAATGTCAACAACGTTCAAGAAGGCAGGGACCTTACTGCTCATCACAGAGAGGAAAAGCATTACAGAGAAAGGAGAGTTGAGTTAGAATAGACAATAGAGTATTAGTAATAATAAAACCCATCGACATGCAAACAACTGAGAAAAGGGACTTTTCTGAGCACCAGCAAAGACCCCTCAGTGTTCCTATGCCTCCATGGACTCCTTTAGAATATGTTATCCTCCCAGTTGCATACATTATGTTTGCTTATCTTTTGATATGCTTATAGGTTTGTAAGGGTATAGCCAGGATGAAAAACAGGAATAATTAGTGTAAGTGTAGTGTAATTTATGATTTTAATGCTTTCTTGTTTTGTTCAGCACTTTGAATTGCCTTGTGTATGAATTGTGCTATATAAATAAACTTGCCTTGCCTTGCCTTGCCTTAAGTACTCTGTACTTACTACTGAGTTTTTATAAGATTTAAGGAAACCTGTCAGGTTTACACATAGGCAGCGAAAAACCTGGCCAGCCAATCATGTTGGCTTACTTTATGCTCACAGCCAATCATGTTAAAATGATTTACCTATCGCTCTAATCAAACCGAAGGCGGGATTTTTTTGCAGCAAAACACGGAAAATATTGAAAGAGTCTACAACGGCTTTGGCGACTGATCCATCGTTTTCTTCTGCTCTTTCGTCCGTTTTCCATAATTTAAAAACAGGAAACAGTTTTGGTAGCCCTCTATGCAACGTTTCTCTGGTTCATCCCGTCTGTCAATCAGACCAACTGGTGAGCCGTCGAGATAACCCTCCTTCCGCCAGGCAAGGCGCAGCGACATTGTTGCTTCCTATACTGTTACTCTAGAATGTGTGCAAGAAGTCTCTTGTTGCTTCAATAGCCGAAATTAGTGCACGTGAAAACCTCACCCTCGATAAAAGTTGAAACTTTTTCCTTTTTGGTTGCTTTTGCCAGACACTGCAGCTAATCAGAGTTTTGAATGAATGATTGGAGTGCCTTGACCGCCATCTATTTTCTTCTATTAATAAAAATAATACTCTTGGTGTCTATAAAGAAATCATGTTTTTATTTCTATAAATCATTCACATTTATCATTATGCTATTGTTGTACTATTTTGATGCAATGAGTGTTTCTCATTGCTGTGGTTTGTCATCCCATTAGAACATGATGGAAACATGCTTGTACAGAGAACATTTTGTACTTTTGCAAAGTGTAGAATGTTGTGCCTTTTCATAACATGGGAAACCTACCTTCCCATCTATGGAATGGAGGAAACATGCATAAGACAAAGAAAATTTAATCTCAAGCTGTCTGAGCTCTGAGACATCACAGTGTAACTTGATTTGTAGCCGAGAGGAGGCATGGAAACCGAGACCAGGACTGTACAATATGGTCTAGATCAATCTTTTTAGAAGACGTAATGTTTGTTTGTTACAAATAGTAAAAAAGGTAAATGCGCTGAGCTTTCTGATTGACAATCGAGAAGGAACGTTACACTCAAAAACTCAAAAACTGTTTAGGTTAAAAATTATTGCAGGTTAAATAAATCTTCATAAATCCCAATGTACACACACAAATTATAAGCCACATAGTTTCCAGTAACATTCACACTGGTCTTAGAAAGTAATAAAAATGCACATAGTGATGGGTTCTTTGTTGTGACTTGTCAAGGCCAAAGAAAAATTGTGCGAGGTGTCAGTGGAGCAGAGCAAATGTGAATGGGCCCTGCTTTAACAGTTGCAGTAAACATGTATGATAACCAGGTGTGGTCCTGATGCTGCCTCTTTAACAGAGACCAGAGCAATCACACCTTGTATTGGCAGTCCGTGTCAACAACATGCTTATACATCTTCAGACCTATAGCAGGCGCCCAAGCGAGCACAGACTCAAGTGTGAATAATGTGTACGCGATGAGACCCCATACCTGGCAGGTTTGTGGAATTGGCAGAGGAAATCATAGCGTTCATCTGGAATGGGCACTCTGCTTTCATTTGGGTCAATGGTGCAGAAGGGGAAATTTTCTGCTGCAGCCTGGCTCTTTGTCAGCACATTGAAAAAGGTTGACTTCCTGAGAATCAAAACAGCAGTAAGGTCAGTACATGGAGCATGGTTGCTGGTATGGAGCCTGAATGCAGAGACTGTGCTAAAAGAGAACATATAGTCATCCGAAATGTGTTATTGTATTTTGTTGATGATGCTCTGGTTTATGTAATATAATACGTAGAGATAAACGATGTAAAAAGCTGTGTTCCTGCATAGTTCCATGGACAGAAGTTAGATTCAATGAGAACGTTAGAAAGGTCAACGGGTCAGAGTATTATTTAGTCAAGTTTATGTCCATGTTTATTGTTTATTACTATCCCTGTTAACTACTGCAATGATGTTGATGAGATGTGGCTCTGGCAACACAGTCATTTACTGCAAAAGATCAATACAGTTCCTATTTATCTTCCTCCATCTTTCCTCAACCAGCAATAAAATCAAATAAAAGTTTGACAAAAAGAGGCCTAAGAATGTGGTGTCCCTCAAAGCTCTGTATTTGGACCCAAACTGTTCACACTGTAAATAAAGGTCTCTCAGATTTAAAAACAAAACAATGATGAATGTACAGTTCTAGACAAGAGCTGGGATCTGAGTTAAAAAATAAATGTAGTTTTGATTAATTTTACACAATCATATACATTTCAATATACATTCTTCCATAAAACAAAAAGAAGGGTATATTCAAGTAAACTAGGCCTAATTGTAAACCCTGCAATTGAATCCAAATACAGGTAGGGATGTAAAGTTTATTTTATTAATATAACTATTAACTTAAATATACAGACTCTGACATGTATGTGCTGAGAGAAGAGATTCTAAGACTCAAACCAGACTGTATATAAATAAACAATAAATATATGAAGCCCAATAGGGTAGTGTTCATGGACAAAGTTTTGCTACACTGAAAAGTGAACTCCTCTAGCTCAGTGATCGTTGTGTCACTCTCAAACTCTCTGTGATCTTGTTTATATTGTCTTATTGATATTGAAAATCCAGTTATGAGCCCTGACAACTGACCAATTAGGAACCTTCTCTTCCTCTCCGCTGCCGATTGGCGTTTGGATAATTGGCCGTTGTTCAAAAAAGAAATTTGGCTCCACATTCCACAAACACTAGGGTGACATCAGCACTCAGTTAGTCCACTAGTTCTAATATATGGTCTGTGATTCAAACACAGTAACTACATACACAATAATCAGAATATTATAAATGTCTAATTGATAAAACTACGGCCAGTTTTTCAAGAACGGTCGTTTTATCAAAGAATAGTTTAAAGAATAAAGAAAGATTCCTTGATTATTAAAATAATCATTAGTTACAGCCTTATATAACTAAAGTAATAGCTATTCTATTCTTTAAAAAACATTGTGAAATAACATTCTTAGAAAAAGTGGTTTTGTTGTACAATTTAAACATACTAACACTGTTGAATATCATTAGAATGTCATCAATCAAATGTGTTGTCGTTGTCACTCATACTATGAAAGATTTCTATATTCATGAGACAAGCAGCTGATAGACCTCTCACAACCACTCTGACCTTTACAGAAGAGTATATTAAAATGCAAAGGTAAATTACAAGCTCAGTTAATCCTTTAATAGATCAATTGTAGGTGGACTCAAGAGGTAAATTACCATCACAGATCAGTGCCAAACGTGTGCCTTGTGTTCTGAGGGGAGGCTGTTTTAGTAACAAGAATCCTTCAGAATCTACGACAATGGCAAGTAGCTCAGAGTAATGGCATACTTTTGTAGGTTCTATACATGCAATTCAAAGTGCGTCATATTGATGGAACTAACCTAAAGAGATGAATTGGTCTGAAATGTGTATATTAATCACCTAAGACGTACAACTTTGAATCAATATCAAGAATATCAAAAGGGCTCCTCAAATGATTCAACTACACAGGACAATTATTCTGGTATTGAGGCTCTGCTTGAATGTCCATTTTAATATTTCTTATTAAAGTAACTTAGAAAGTGACAAACTACTCTGCTATTTTCTCTGAGATTAAACTGTAATACAAAAGCAAAACAACGGCTTCTACTAATACATGCATGTTACAAATACTTACAAAGAACAAATCTAGTCCCAGAGCACCTCTGCATAAGACTAGTTGAGATATGGAGTAATCAAATAGATGTGTAAGTTTTCTTCCCCATGTTTTTTTTAACCTTGATTAGTTAATCAGACACTAATTGGCTGCGTGACCCCAACTCGCCGACACTCCTCCGTAAAACATGTATCGAATGCTTAAAAATGAAGGAGGCATTTTGCTTTGATTAACAATGATTCCTCAATGCAAAACAATTCACGAGGTCTAATCAGTTATAGAATATAATTAGTCATCAAAAACTTATGTAGACTTCAGAACTTCAGGATGCTTATACACATGTAGTATGGTTGAATGAATAGGAGGATGGTGTGGGAGATTTGGTTCTAGATTGTTTACAGTCAGCTCATATGACAATACATAATGAGCCATTTCATTTGTGTGATTGTGTGTTATTGAGCTCAATGCCTTGTTAATCCTCATCTTGTTTCTCCTCTTTTTCTCCTGATTCCCTTCTATATTGCTAATGCTCTGTAATTCTTTTGTTGTAAATGAGGGATGTATAAAGTCAGCTACAGTAGTGTGGTAAGATACTAGGATTCCACAAAGAACTTATAACTGGTCAATATGGAATCACTAAACGATTATAAGACGCCCAGATCTAAAAGAAGAGATATCGCTACAACTATTGCTGAAGTATTCACTTCATATGAGTGATTGTAGTTGCAAAGTCGACACTTTCATCACAATCAATGGACAAGGGCCCTATAACAGCTCATTACCAGAGATAATTAGAATTTCATTCAAGAAAATATAATATAAAATATTATAACTACACTTTTTAATTCTATTCTCTACTTTTGACCTGTTTGCCCCGATAGCCAACGACATTTCCTTGTCTTTGACTTCCTGTTACTTCCATGGCAATTATTCTGATTCTGAAAAGGCCATGGGGAAAGATAATAATGCATCGGTTTTATGTAGCGCTTTTTTATGGCATTTTTCCTTCACTCCATACACGGTGGGGATAAACTACGACTGTAGCCACCACTGCCCTGGGGCTCACTAGCAGAAGCAAGGCAACCATTATGCGCCATTGGTGCCTCTGACCACCATGACCATGAACGGTTACTCATGCACACCCCAGACTCATTCTAGGCAATGTGGGAGGGGTGTCTTGCGTAAGGGCACAGCGATAGTTGCACAGCTTCCCCACTGTGGCACCTGGTGTTCCCAAAGGTCTTCAATCATAGTATTAACCAGGCCCTGCCCTGCTTAGCTTCAGAGCTGTAACGGGATCTGGCTTTCACATGCAGGTATTGCATAGGGCCTATTACTTTCCCAACGAACTTGCTACAGCAATACCACATTGCCATAGCATGAGAAACAGTCCCCATTCTGTGTTATTGGGAAAATCTAAAAAGCTCTCACATTTACATTGATGCACTTATCTTGCACAATGCCTGGGCCGTTTCACTTACGGGGCTCAGAATTGCTCCACATCATCTAAAGTGTAGCATCAAAACTTGGCTGTACAAATTTGATCAGTTAAACAGTACGAGCGGCAGAACCGCAAATATTAGTTATTTCCATAGAGATGTTTGAAAGTTACCATATTCAATGGAGACACAGACTCAGATCATATTCAATACATTAGTTCTAGTGGCGGCACGGTGGCACGGTGGCTGAGTGGAGAGCACTCTCGCCTCTCAGCAAGAAGGTCCTGGGTTTGAATCCCGGTCGGAACAGGGCCTTTCTGAGTGGAGTTTGCATGTTCTTCCTGTGTCTGTGTAGGTTTCCTCTGGGTGCTCCGGTTTCCCCTACCACTAAAAATCATTCACAATAGGTATGAATGTAAATGAGAGAGTGAATGGATAGCGTTGATTGGGGCTGATGAGCCAGTGTGTTCGGTGCCTCGCTTCTGTCATCACCGTGTGTGGAATGATTGGTACAATATCTGAACTCTGAACATAGTAAAGTGCTTTGGGTGACCTTGGTCTGTAAAATGCGCAACATAAATAAACATTACTTACTTACATTACTTCCACAAGAGCCATGCCGCTTGTAGCTTTAATTTTGATATTCTCTTTGTTACCCCTACCAACTGACCAATCGGGTACCTTCTATTCCCCAAATAGTGGTGCTTGTAGCGGCGCAAGTAATGCAAGTGGGAACAAGACAGTCTCACTCATGATTGGAACTTCAGTTGCTGGCCCATCCATGGAGCCTGTTTGAGCTCCCTATAATCTTCTTATTTCACAATAAGCATCTGTCCACTCCTTTTACTGTCTATGGTGCATTCCTTTCTCCAAAACGTTCCTAGCTCCTCATTCATCCACGAGTGTCAGATCCAACAATGACAGCCGAATGGGAGTCAAAACAGGGATGCAGTCTTCCATCTTTTCCATATATTTGATCAATTACTACAAAATTGTGTGGGCTTTTAATATTTTAGTAACTAACTATAACTTTCTGGGATAATATGAGCCAGATGTGCTGAACACTTATCATTACACATTAAGTAATACTTACTAATGGTACATCAATCGAAAGGCCCAGTCAGGTTAACCAATAGGTATTTCATCCTGGGATGAGGTTGTTGAAATGTTGTTATTAATTCTTTATTCAAATTTCCAATTAAGTCACAGGTTAAGGTTAGGTTGGGGATGAGGTGAGGTTTGGGTATGAGGTGAGGTTTGGGGATGAGGTAAGGGTTAGTGTATAGCCCATGCTGCTCTTCTGTTTTTTGCCACTGGATGGTGCTGTGGCTGCTGTGGCTCAGGCTCATCATGGCACCTGTTCTGGTTATTAGCACACCTGTGTTCTTTTTGATTTTGTGACAGTGTAGGTGGAGGAGCCTTTAATATTTTCCACCGTGTTGTATTGTTTGCAGTGTTTTTTCCTCTGAAAATAAATAACAAAGAACTTTAATTTTCTCAGTTTTTCTTAAGTTTTTACACGCGTGGGTCAATATCCACCACATTAGGCTGTTGCATGTTTTGGACCATACATTAGTGGAAAATACCCGCGTTGACTACACTTGGACTCTTTCTTTCTCTGGACAATGGATGAGAATACCACACTGCAGAAGCGGGCCCCAAAGCCAACTCTTCGGGCCATGGAAGACTCACTTCAGAGGAAAATCAATAACAGAAGAGGTAAGCTAAGTCAACTCTCAATGAAGAAGAATGAGTTGCTGCAGTTTATGGATAATGACAGTAATATTGATGTGGTGCAGAAGAAGTTCACTCAAGAATTTAACACTGAATTTGCTAACTTCCAAGAGGCAAATAATATGGTCAAAGATCAATATAATGCATTGGGACTTGATGAGAACCAGAAGTATGACCAAGAGAACTGGTATATGCCCAAAGAAGCCGCATTTTATGATTTCATTGAAGAAGTGGACTTTTGGATAAAAGACGTGGGTAAACGGATGGAAGATTCATCAAAGATGGATGCAATGGTGCGGCCCAAAGACAGCGTATCTGAGTCTGGTTCCCGAAGGACAAAATATTCCAGATGCAGCTCTGTACATTCCCAAGCTTCCGTGGAACGCCTAAAGGCTGAACTGGAAGAGGCCGCGCTCTCGGCGCAGGCAGCGGTGTTAAAGGAGAGACAGGAGATTGAGTTCCAGGAGATGCGTATACGGGCTGACAAAGAGGACTTGGAGCTAAAGCTTGCCTTGGCCACTACCCAAGCTAAACTGAGGGTTTTGGACATGCATGATGCGTCTGACACCGCACCCCAGTCCCCGCAGCCTGTGGTCGCCGCACCTCTGTCCCCGCAGCCTGACGCCGCTCCCCAGTTCCGGCCTTCCGACGCCGCTCCCCAGTTCCGGCCTTCCGACGCCGCTCCCCAGTTCCGGCCTTCCGACGCCGCTCCCCAGTTCCGGCCTTCCGACGCCGCTCCCCAGTTCCGGCCTTCCGACGCCGCTCCCCAGTTCCGGCCTTCCGACGCCGCTCCCCAGTTCCGGCCTTCCGACGCCGCTCCCCAGTTCCGGCCTTCCGACGCCGCTCCCCAGTTCCGGCCTTCCGACGCCGCTCCCCAGTTCCGGCCTTCCGACGCCGCTCCCCAGTTCCGGCCTTCCGACGCCGCTCCCCAGTTCCGGCCTTCCGACGCCGCTCCCCAGTTCCGGCCTTCCGACGCCGCTCCCGCCTCGTTTCCGGCCTTCCGACGCCGCTCCCCAGTTCCGGCCTTCCGACGCCGCTCCCCAGTTCCGGCCTCCCGACGCCGCTCCCCAGTTCCGGCCTTCCGACGCCGCTCCCCAGTTCCGGCCTTCCGACGCCGCTCCCCAGTTGTTCCGGCCTCCCGACGCCGCTCCCCAGTTGTTCCGGCCTCCCGACGCCGCGCCCCAGTTGTTCCGGCCTCCCGACGCCGCGCCCCAGTTGTTCCGGCCTCCCGACGCCGCGCCCCAGTTGTTCCGGCCTCCCGACGCCGCGCCCCAGTTGTTCCGGCCTCCCGACGCCGCGCCCCAGTTGTTCCGGCCTCCCGACGCCGCGCCCCAGTTTTTCCGGCCTCCCGACGCCGCGCCCCAGTTGTTCCGGCCTCCCGACGCCGCCCCAGTTGTTCCGGCCCCGACGCCGCGCCCCAGTTGTTCCGGCCTCCCGACGCCGCGCCCCAGTTGTTCCGGCCTCCCGACGCCGCGCCCCAGTTGTTCCGGCCTCCCGACGCCGCGCCCCAGTTGTTCCGGCCTCCCGACGCCGCGCCCCAGTTGTTCCGGCCTCCCGACGCCGCGCCCCAGTTGTTCCGGCCTCCCGACGCCGCGCCCCAGTTGTTCCGGCCTCCCGACGCCGCGCCCCAGTTGTTCCGGCCTCCCGACGCCGCGCCCCAGTTGTTCCGGCCTCCCGACGCCGCGCCCCAGTTGTTCCGGCCTCCCGACGCCGCGCCCCAGTTGTTCCGGCCTCCCGACGCCGCGCCCCAGTTGTTCCGGCCTCCCGACGCCGCGCCCCAGTTGTTCCGGCCTCCCGACGCCGCGCCCCAGTTGTTCCGGCCTCCCGACGCCGCGCCCCAGTTGTTCCGGCCTCCCGACGCCGCGCCCCAGTTGTTCCGGCCTCCCGACGCCGCGCCCCAGTTGTTCCGGCCTCCCGACGCCGCGCCCCAGTTGTTCCGGCCTCCCGACGCCCGACGCGCCCCCAGTTGTTCCGGCCTCCCGACGCCGCGCCCCAGTTGTTCCGGCCTCCCGACGCCGCGCCCCAGTTGTTCCGGCCTCCCGACGCCGCGCCCCAGTTGTTCCGGCCTCCCGACGCCGCGCCCCAGTTGTTCCGGCCTCCCGACGCCGCGCCCCAGTTGTTCCGGCCTCCCGACGCCGCGCCCCAGTTGTTCCGGCCTCCCGACGCCGCGCCCCAGTTGTTCCGGCCTCCCGACGCCGCGCCCCAGTTGTTCCGGCCTCCCGACGCCGCGCCCCAGTTGTTCCGGCCTCCCGACGCCGCGCCCCCCAGTTGTTCCGGCCTCCCGACGCCGCGCCCCAGTTGTTCCGGCCTCCCGACGCCGCGCCCCAGTTGTTCCGGCCTCCCGACGCCGCTCCACATTCCCGGCCTTCCGTCACCCCAAGTACACGCCAGCTCGCAGGACAGCGCTACAGTGACTCCATAAGCGACCCGGCCTATTCCACAACCGGCCAAAGAGAGAATAGTCCAGACGCTCTGCTCACTGTACTTCACCGCCAAAACGACATCACAGAGTATTTGGTGAGGCAGCAGAGACTAATAACGCTGCCGCCCCAGACTATACCCATATTTAAGGGGGACCCACTGGACTTTAGACTGTTCGAGAGAGCCTTTGAACACGGTGTGGAGCATAAAACTGATAGCTATGAGGACAGACTGTACCTGCTGGACCAATACACCAGTGGACAGCCCAAGAACTTAATCCGTAGCTGCATGCATATGGAACCAGAGCTGGGGTATAGAACGGCCAAGAAGTTGCTCAAAGAACATTTTGGTCGAGACTATAATGTGGCTGTTGCTTACATCAACAAGGCCCTAGCCTGGCCCACAATCAGGCCAGATGATGGTGACGCTCTGAATGCCTTTGCATTGTTCCTCACCGGTTGCAACAATGCAGTGGCCGAGATGGACTTTGTGGAAGAAATGAACAGTGTGACAAATATGCGGTCAGTCGTCTACAAGCTGCCCTATAAGTTAAGAGAAAGGTGGCGTGGGTTTGCCTTCGACCTACAGGAAAAGCGAGACAGAAGGCCGAAGTTTAAAGACCTCGTGGACTTTGTTAATACACAAGCCAAGATGTCTCTGCATCCAATGTTTGGGGAACTGAAAGGCGGTACTTCCCAATATCCTAATCTGGCCCAGCCCGTTGCCGAGAGAAGGTCTAGGTCGACATTCACCACAGTGGCCATGCCAAGCAGTACAAATGTGGGCAACGTTGTTCCGAAAATACTGCCAATAGGACTCTCAAACCCCTCCCATTATGATGCCCATTCCAAGCCTTGTTTGTTTTGCAATGGGAATCACAATATGGCTGAATGTAGAAAAATGGGACGCTCAATGAATAAAGACAAAATAGACTTTGTAAGAGAAAAGAAGCTTTGTTTTGGTTGTTTAAAACTAGGCCACATGGTCAAGCAATGTTGTGAAAGATTGAAATGTGATACATGCTTTGCACTTCATCCTACGGTTCTGCACAGCAAGAGCCATGACAGGGTAACTACAGATTTAGCACCTCCCAAAAGGCACACCATATCAAATGGGTTAGTTGGAACAAGGGGTTCGAATGGAGTTACTGGGGCCGGATTTCCAAACGTTATTTTGCCCATAGTCCCAGTCCAAGTTAAAGGCAGCTAAAGGGTCCAAAGTTGTTACAACGTACGCCTTTCTTGATTCTGGTAGTACTGCCACCTTTTGCACTGAAAGACTTATGAACATGTTGAATCTACAGGGGCGTAAAACAGACATTCTTCTCGCAACGATGGGCAATAACAAAGTGGTGTCCACCCATGTTGTTTATGGTCTGGAGGTGACCAGGTTGGATGGTAACTCATACATACAACTTCCTGAGGTGTTTACTCAACAGACTATTCCAGCACAACAAACGAACATTCCTAGGCAGTGTGATGTTAATATGTGGCCTCACTTACAGGGAGTGGTGCTTCCAGAGCTCGATAGTAGGATAGAGCTTTTGATTGGTGCTGATGTTCCAATGGCAATGGAGCCGGAGGAAATCCTTAAGAGCATCAGAAACGGACCATATGCTGTGCGTACACGGTTGGGGTGGACAGTTAATGGTCCCTTACGAGACGGGCTCACATCCGACATCAGTCGGTCTGTGGCATCCAATCGCATATCTGTGGCCAGGTTGGATGACTTATGGTGTCAACAGTTTAAAATGGACTTTCCTGAAAGCAGAACAGAGGATCAATTGGACATGTCACGGGACGACCTGCAATTTATGGATAGTGTAACGCAGTCTGTAATTAAGGTTGACGGACATTACTGCATTGGCTTGCCATTAAAGAATAAAAATGTTTCCATGCCGAACAACAGAGTACTGGCAGAGCAACGAGCTTTAAACCTCAAGAGAAAATTACAAAAGAACCCCTCCTTTCATGCAGAATGTCAAATTTATGGAGGACATGTTTGCTAAGGGTCATGCCAAGAGGGTTCCAGATAAGGACTTTATTAGACAGGACCGAAAGGTTTGGTACATCCCGCACCATGGGGTGTACCATCCCAAGAAGCGGAAGATCCGTGTCGTTTTTGATTGCGGTGCGTCTTATCAAGGGACGTCCCTCAATGAACAGCTACTTCAGGGGCCAGATCTTACCAGCAGTTTGCTTGGGGTTATGTTGCGTTTTCGTCAAGAACCGGTGGCTTTAATGGCAGACATAGAAGCCATGTTCTACCAGGTCATGGTCCCAGAGGAGGATGCCGATTTGTTACGCTTCCTCTGGTGGCCTGATGGCAACTTAGAGGGGGATCTAGCAGACTTTAAGATGGTTGTCCATATCTTTGGGGCAACGTCGTCACCGAGCTGCGCAAGTTATGCTCTCAGACGATCTGCTGAGGACTGCAGAGGACTACACGACCCCGAAGCAGTTGATACCGTACTGCGAAACTTCTATGTCGATGATTGCCTCAAGTCCGTTGGTACGGAAGAGCAGGCAGTGAAGCTGCATAACGAACTTAAAGCAGTATGTATGCAAGGTGGCTTTAAGTTAACAAAATGGATTTCCAACAGTCGGGCAGTTTTGGCTGCCATACCGGATGGGGAAAGAGCAAATGACATCAAGGAACTGGATCTCGATCATGATGCCCTTCCTGTTGAGAGAGCTTTAGGCATGCACTGGTGTGTACAGACTGATAGTTACACATTCAAAATCACCATGCCGGACAAACCCCCAACTAGACGTAACATTCTATCCACAGTCAGCTCTATATATGATCCGCTGGGCATGGTGTCGCCTGTTGTTCTGCAGGCCAAGAAATTGCTACAAGAAGCCAGACGACAAAGTCCTGCAAGCCTTCTCTGACTCTCAAGGACTTGCAAGAGGCAGAATTGGAGATTGTTCGGCACTACCAACAGCAGACTTTTCCAGACGAGCTTTCCGCTCTTGAGAGGGGTGAGAACGTCAAAAGTACCAGCCACATATACAGACTTTGTCCATTTCTTGAAGATGGTCTTCTAAAGGTGGGTGGTAGGCTTGATAGGGCTGCCATGCCACATGAATGTAAACATCCATCGCTACTGGCTAAAACCCTCAGAGTGACCGAGCTTATCATTGAGGCCATACACAAGAACCTTGGCCACAGTGGACGCAATCATGTATTGTCCCAGCTGCGACAGAAGTATTGGGTGCCTCATGCTCCCTCTGTCATAAGGAGAGTCTTGTCACGATGCACTGCATGTCGACGCCTTCATGGTATCACAGGCCAGCAACAAATGGCAGCTTTGCCCAGAGACAGACTTCTTCCCGATGAGCCGCCATTCACCAGAACTGGTGTGGACTACTTTGGTCCTTTTGAAGTGAAACGTGGAAGGTCAACAGTCAAAAGGTATGGTGTAATCTTCACCTGTTTGACCATACGGGCTGTTCATATTGAAGTTGCTAACTCATTGGACACTGATTCGTTCATAAACGCTTTGCGGCGATTTATATCAAGACGAGGCCAAGTTCAGGAGTTGAGGAGCGACAACGGGACAAACTTCGTTGGGGCTGATCGAGAGTTAAAGAGGTCACTGCAACAATGGAACAACGAAAGGATTCAAGTCACCCTACAACAAAAGGGCATTAACTGGTTGTTTAACACCCCTTCAGCCTCACACCACGGGGGCGTGTGGGAACGCTTGATTCGGTCCATTCGGGGAATCCTTAACGCCACCTTAGGACACAACCCCTGGATGAAGAAGGCCTTCAGACCTTCCTTTGTGAGGCAGAAGCTATTCTTAACAGTCGTCCTATCACTACCCCCACCAACGACCCCAATGACCTGGAGGCCCTAACTCCCAACCACCTCTTGTTGTTGAAAACCCAACCACTGCTACCTCCAGGACTTTTTGAAGGCTCGGACCTCTATGCACGACGCAGGTGGAAACAGGTCCAGTATATGGCCAACTTGTTCTGGAAAAGGTGGATCCGGGAGTACCTGCCAGAACTCCAAGTGCGTCAGAAATGGGCCGGGGTTAAAAGGAATTTTTCTGTTGGGGATGTAGTTTTACTGGTGGACGAATCGGCACCCCGTAACTCGTGGGTTATGGGCAGGATCACTCAAACCATACCAGACAGGTTTGGTCTTGTTCGTACCGTAAGGGTAAAGACCAAAACTAGCGATCTTGTCCGACCCATAACAAAGGTGTGTCTGCTGCTAGAGCACCTATAAATGAATTTAAGTTGTTTGTAATTGTTTCATTTAAAAAAAAAAATAAAACACTTAGGGGCCGGAATTGTATAGCCCATGCTGCTCTTCTGTTTTTTGCCACTGGATGGTGCTGTGGCTGCTGTGGCTCAGGCTCATCATGGCACCTGTTCTGGTTATTAGCACACCTGTGTTCTTTTTGATTTTGTGACAGTGTAGGTGGAGGAGCCTTTAATATTTTCCACCGTGTTGTATTGTTTGCAGTGTTTTTTCCTCTGAAAATAAATAACAAAGAACTTTAATTTTCTCAGTTTTTCTTAAGTTTTTACACGCGTGGGTCAATATCCACCACATTAGGCTGTTGCATGTTTTGGACCATACAGTTAGCTTGCAACGGGATAAAAAAACTAAGATTCTTGATATATAGAACTGATATAACAAATGTTTCAATATTGGCACAAATATCACATACCATAATTAAAGTGATGCATCCCTACAGGAAATGTCTCAATGTTGAAAAATTAAAGAAAAAAAAGTTGCTTGGCCAACAAGTGCAAGGTTTTATTGTCCTCAATGAAACTTGGTATGGTATATGGTAATTTATTGATCCTGAAAAGAAATCTGTCTCTGGCATTTGACCCGTCCTGTGCTTGGTCAGGACTAGTGGTTCTGGAGGATTACCTTTGTGCATGTTTTCAGTGGTGAAAGAAACCTGCAACCTCCACACAGAAAGGCCTGGGCAAATCCGGGATGGAACCCACAACCTTCTCGTAGT